ACATGAGATTTTTCTTTTTTGGATCGGTCGATGGAGTCGCGCCGATCCTTAGGCGCTGGCTGTGCCCTCACACTAGGTGTTGTGTCCACTGCCTCTTGAGAGGCGCTGGACACGCGCTCTTGCGAGCGCTGCGTTTGTTTTGAGGGCCTCGCCTTAAAAGAAGAGGCCTTCGCGGCCCCCAGCCCGGAGTATGGTGGGTCTTTCTTGGATGGCGGAGCAGCACTGGCTGCAACCGCCGAGGGGGCGGATGGCATCACCGCTGGCTCACTACGCGTGTGCCAGACAGGCGCCGGGGGCCGTCGTGGCGCTGCTCCCCGACGGGCCACTTCGGCAAAGCTGGTTTCTGGTAGGCAGGACACCTGCCTTCGTGCCTCCCTAAATGAAATGTTTTGTTTTACTTTAATTGTGACAATTTCCTTTTCCTTTTTCCAGCACGGGCATGACCGTGAGTATGCGGCATGCTCCCCATTACAGTTCGCACAGTGAAGAAAGTTTTCACAGGCATCTGATGTGTGTTCTTCAGCACTGCATTTCGCGCAAGTTAGGCGGCCTGAGCAGTTCTGTGAACTGTGGCCGAACCGCTGGCATTTGAAACATCGGAGAGGGTTCGGTATATATGGTCTCACTCGAAGCTTGATATACCCAGCCTCAACGAAGTCGGGCAGTACACTTGAATTGGAGGTGAGTATCAGGTGCTTAGTCTGGACTTCTTTGTCATCACGTCTCACCTTAATTCTTTTCACGTTGATGACATTCTGTTCGCTGAAACCCTCCAAGAGTTCGGCCTCTGTCAGCCCTAACAGGTCATCATCTGAAACAACGCTATGGGTGGTGTTCATGGTTCGGTGTGGGGTTACTATTATTTTGGTGTCTCCAAATTTCACTAGATTAGACGGTCTCTCATGTTGTTTCTGGTGGCGGAGCTCCAACAGGAGGTCACCACTTGCCATTTTCGATGCTTTATATCCTGGGCCAAAGATTTCCGTCAAAGACTTTGATACTAGAAAAGGTGAAAGTGTTCGCACTGATTTGCCGGGTGTGTCAGCGCGGATAACGTGGAATCGGGGAAAAAATACTTTCTGGTGACCAAAAAACTGGAAGACTTCATCGGTGCGCCCTCTTTTCTGAGGGCGATCAGGGAGTGGGGGGAAGGAACTAGCCATATGTAAATGTTTACTTTCGGCAGCGGCGCCAGCCACCCACCATGAAGTCCTACAAGGGGACGCTGCAGGGTCTGTAAGTACAGGCCCCGCAGACGCCAGCTGTACGCCACCACTATAACCGAATATGGTGTATCCAAGGTAGGATAGCCACACAGGGTTAACCCTTGCCACCAAGAAACACGGAAGTCAAAGGAAGTGAGTAGAGGACAGGAAAGATTTAAAGTGAGAGAAAAGACGAAGATGTGAGGTGGAGACAGGAAAAGGCAACTGCCGAATCCCCCCGGGCGGGTCAATCCGGGAGAGCCTTCTATCTACGTCAAGCCGGGGCCAAAGGGGTGTGTTGCCTCTGCCGGGGGGCCTTAAAGGTCCAATCACCCAGCGTCGGCTCAACCCCCAGGATCCCCTTTTCCCCGGACACGGCAAAGCCACGCACGGCTAGGCGTTGGAGGGAGTCAAAACCCCCCTCGTTAGCTCGGGTCCGTGGTGTCGCTACACACCAAACGCCTACTTGCGCAGGCGCCCCTGCGGGGAGCTTTTAACATTTACAGTTCAATTTCGGATATAATGAAATTGACAAATTCCAAAAAAAAAAAACCATTTTGTTATAAAGAGGATGTCGTAATATGCAGGCTCGGTACGAAAATTCGAAAAATAAACGTGCAAATTAAAGAAAAAGAGAACCAAAGGTAGGGCTCACCCAAAACACTTATTTAGCAGTGTGAAACTACATTATTACTATTGCGATAGCAACAACATGAACACTCTCGGAGGGTTTTCGCCGTCACCGTCATGTTTTGTAACAAGTCCAAATTGATAACATGCCCTGACGCATCAGAACTATTACGAGCGGGTAAAGCGCTCAAGTGCTGCTGAAGCAGAGATAAAATGAGCTGGCTCATCTCTATAGCCTGGAGGCCGCTTAAGATAACATCCCCGGCGAGATAGAACTGTTAGGACTGTCGTCAAATGCACAAAAAGAGAGAAAACCACCCATGAGCATGAAAAACGCAGGGGAAGCTTGGCTATAGCAACTGTGAAATTTGATTTTAAGGGTGTGGTCACGATCGCTGGCACGCATGTTGTCTCGGCAAGCATCGGTTCGTTCGCAAAGCGAAGAGACTGTGTAAAAAGAGCACTTCTCCCAGGAGCAGGTCGTTTTTCCTTACACGAGCGTTTTGTAGGAGTTCCGTGGTATCACATCCCAAATAGCTAGTTGCCAGCATTACTTCATTTTTATGATTATCGCATTCATTGCATTACCTTCAACACAATGTCGTGTTGCCAGAGCTAATCGGCTAATTGCGAAGGCTATGGTCCCGCGAACTCACGCAAGATGGCAAGGCGCGTGACAAGTCGACCTCCAAAGATCTGTCGTCGCCTACCGTGGTCTCGGAGAGTTGATATCAGCACCTAATTTGACATCTCCTTGGTAGTAACAACATGATTGTCCACTTAAAAAACAAAAATAAATAAAAAGAAGAAAAAACAGGCAAAGCTGAACATTGTCAAGGGTAATTCCATGCGCGAGCTGTGAAACCGTGCATGCGCGCACGGCATCGAAAACAAAGACGCAACGACACGGATACCGCTAAAAACTATTCGGTAAAGCACTTTTCTTATATGCAGCATTGATTGATATGTGGGGTTTAACGTCCCAAAACCACCATATGATTATGAGAGACGCCGTAGTGGAGGACACCGACAAATTACGACCACCTGGGGGTTCTTTAACGTGCACCCAAATCTGAGCACACAGGCCTACAGCAGTTTTCGCCTCCTTTGAAAATGCAGCCGCCGCAGCCGGGATTCGATCCTGCGACCTGCGGGTCAACAGCCAAGTACCTTAGCCACTAGACCACCGTGGCAGGGTCATATATGCAGCATGGCCCTACATATGTGACGCTAAAAGTAAAACAGCCCAATGTGGCACCACCAGTGTCACTTAAAGTGCGATTTCCGCCATGATCGAAGAGTGGCAATGCCAACAAAAAAGTTATCTTTTTTTTTTCTTTCTTAGTTTGGAGAAAGGGGTAAGGCACAACCGCGCATGCGCCTGCGGCGGAAAGAACACCGGCTATGCTGGTTCGAGGGGCGCAGGCCCACCTGCCCACCTTACACACACCTGCACGCAATAATGCGCACTCGCTCTCGCCTGGGAGTCGCCGAGGCCAAGAGAGGGCCGCAGCCACTTCGCGCTTCATCAGCGGCGGGGCGACCGCGAAAGATGCATGCTCGTGCCAAAAATGATGAAATTTCTAGATTGCATGCGGCAAAAAATCATGATATCAAGGATGTCCCCTGCTGTTACTTCGTTACATAGAGGTTGCAAATACACGTGCTTCTGTGCAGTAATAACGGGGAATAGAAAAACGATGTAGTATCGAGGGATTCGTTATACAGAGGTTCGTTATAAGCAGATTTAACTGTAATAACTTTTCAGCATGATCACTAAATGTTGCTGATCGGTGGACGAAGCTCTTGAGAACATGCGAACAATACATTACAGCACAGCACACAGCCTGAACTTTACAATGAATCATCAAAACCAACTAGAAGTTACTCCTTTTTTTCTCTACGAATGACGCCATTGACCATGTCACTGCGCCATACACCCTATTCGACGGCCATTGGCTAATTTCAGCATCGTGATTTCTGTAGTTATCGTCGCTTCCGCAAGATGCCACACTGAAAGTAAGCTTTGGGCTCGAAGAAAAAAAAATGAAAAAAAAAATGCTCAAGGTAACGAAGCATGCTGCACCTTCTGTCATCGATCTGCCTGCGTTGCTTTCAGTGCACTCGGTGGTATGAAAGAAAAGGAAAAGTGCTTAAAGCGCACAGCAAATCCCTGTAACATCGCAAGTACTATACGAATTCCAAACATTTTTGCAGCAGTCGATTCATGAGGCAATAAGCTTTCCTAATGAAGCCATTCCATAATTTACTTGAAAAACTGTTGCAGGGCCCCTGTAATTGGTCTCCTTTAAATGCAAAGCTATGCAGGGAGTGATGAGAAACACCGTAAGCCTGGCTCTCGATTAACGATTACTACCTGAAGCTGTTTAGTGAAAACGAATACCACGCTAAGCTAATGTTCTTTCATTCCACCCAAACTGGAATCTTGCCACAGCCACTGGGGTTCAATACCATGACATCCACCTCAGCATCACAAGCCTGTATCTGCTAAGTCATGACATCGTGTCCTCACAAACCAAACTGCAGCTAATAAGCAGACACCGACAACAATTCCATTCGCTTTCCTTTACGAATTCGCAATCCTGCTGTTGGTATATAAAAATAAATGGTACAATGTCAAATGTCCTCTCATACATGTGGCCCATAAACACAACAATGCAGTCCCCGTTTTCGTGTGTAATGAACAAAGTCCTCTGTCAGGGCAACTGTGTCAAGTTCTGAGCATATCAGTGTTGGTGTCAATCATAAACATTTACCACTTCCATTAATTCCAGCATTGCTGGAGTTCTCTTTCAAGCTTCTCTACATCTCTGGCACGAAAGACAAAATGAGTAAAAGCCATCTTGTCCTTCGACTATGGAGTAAATAACAATAGTTGAGTGGTAGAAACAGTTTCCTATTATTCAGGCAAATCACAACGATGCTTGGTAACATTGTGCAAAAGTTGCTTGATAGTTTCCTGTTTAATTCTTTATCAGACAAAAAAGGACATACATGGTGCATCTATCACATTAACAGCTAATTTGTTCACTATTAATGTGAGAACTTCTTTTTTTTTTCTCTGAATCTTTCCACTTACCACTCACGTTTTAATCGCAGCTGCATTATATTTAGATAAGTACTCTTAAAAACCGATCTTCTCACCTTCTTCCAGTACTCCTCGAGCGTGAAGTCCTCGTCGGAGTCCGAGTTTGAAGATTCACTCGCATGAGACACAGCTGTAAGCAGAAGGTACCAAAGACAGTGTGCTCTCAGATATATGGGCACCACGAAATCGGCCAAGTTTGAAGCATCACACCCAGCAATATACCAACCATCGAAAAGTACCAAATCTTTCATCATCAAAGCTTAACCTACATTCGCCAGACGGTTGATAGAGAATACAAAAGAAAAATAATTTTTCCCCTATAGTGGTGAAAAGCCCACAGATAAGCCAGTAAAGGTGCAAAAAGAAAAGGTGTAGAAACAAAAGACAAATGACAATACCACTTTGAAGTTTCCATATCGACTGTGGTGTGACACTAACACATCAGTGAGAAGGCTTCAGCAAAAAAATTTCAGCTCTGGAACGCTAGCCTTTATTTGCCTCTTAATAACAAACCACTAACCGTGAAATTATTGACAACGAAGTCCTCAAAGGATGATTTATCGCTCTAAACTGGTTTAAGACTCTGCAGCAGAATGCACAGGACCGGGTTGATTAGAGGAACATGGAAGAAGCCTTTGCCCTGCAGTAGGCGTGGCCAGGCTGATGATGATGATGATTTAGCAGTGCCAGCTGTCGAGCACAGTTAATGCTGAATAGCTCTTTTAATGTCTCTATCACAGTCCAGTACTTGCATCATGAGGTTATTTCACAGATGCCAACTCACCAACTCGCACAGGTTGCATTTCTTACAGCAGAGCTGTTATACCCAACTCTCCAAGTAGACAAACAGTCAGCAAATGCTCAGCACAGCTGTGCCTATACAAGTCAAGTTAATCATAGCCATGTCTAATTAAGTCTAGTTGAGCATAGTAAAAACTACTTAGCTATCATAATTAAGCTACTCAAGTAAAAACCTAATAAGTTGTAATTCAGCAGAGTTGAGATTTTCGTGTGCCTAGACATGCCAAGCTCAGCAAGATGCGCTGCGCTAATCTTAACAAGAGCGAGTCCAATGCCGATAAGGCTAATCAGCTAATTGAATTCGGGCATAAAATAAGCAAATTAGGATAATTAGCCTCTTATTCTAGTTAAGCTGCTTAGTGTTATAATAATGAAGAGATAGCCAATCAAACCCTATTAATACCTAGCCACTACTCGTGATTTACAATGTCGTCACATGAACACTTCGTGCATCAGCTAGTGAATGCACATATGCCTAGTAAAGCCAAAACCAGCCGAGTGCAGACCAGCTTTGTTCTGCCCCAGCCATGCACAACTCAGTGCAAGCAGCGTAAATATTTTTATATGAGCTCAGAATGCGCACGGTGTCGAATCGGGTGTTGCAGTGCAGTCAAGCCCACTTATAACAATACTTTAGCTTGCATTGGTTCTTCTCATAGCAGAACTTCGATGTTATTGTAGCATAATCGCGAGGGGCACGCGATTCTGCAAAGTTTGCCAGCCTAGTGCACTATTCCAACAATACACGCACATTGGATTCGCGCAAAGGTCTATTAAAAATCACTATGTTGCCAAAACTGGGCAAATTCCAATTGATTCTGAAAGTGGCCAGACTAACTACTAGAAAGTGCTAGGTGCACAACAAACAAATTTAACATGCCAAAATAAACTATACAAAAGCACCGATCAGCAGTGATCGATTTGGATAGGCATGGTAATGAAAGAGTTAAGCTAATTACTTAAGCTAACTAGGCTACTTCGGTGCCATGATTGCCAAGCGATAGCGAAATGACCTGAGAACCTGCTGTAAGTTCGTTATTTCACCAAGAAAGCATACTAAAGTTATTGTGGAGCAGCTTCTGATTGTTATGGCCGAAATATTGTTATAAACTATATATTGTTAAAGCGGGTATACTAGTACTAAGTGCAGTTTGACTGCTCACATCGCAGGAGATGAGCAGTGGATGTAGTCCGGTGCTCACGCCTCGGTGGGGGCTGGGGAGGCGTGGGTGTAGCTCGGGTGACGGGGGACGGAGTCTTCATGGTCGTCGCCACTTTGGACTCGACAGATGGTGGCGGTGCCAGGGTGGGTGTGGCAGCGCAGGAGGGTGCCTCCTTAGGTGCCAGCATTGGCACCGGCTCTTTTTTTGGTGCCTCCATTACTGGCTTGTCCACTGCTGCCACCTTCGGGGCAGTACTCTCCGCTGGGACTTCCGAGGCAACATCGTCGTCGTCCTCTTCCTCCTCATCTGACTCATCGTCATACTCGGACTCGGGCTCACCACCGACCCGTTCTCCATCCTTGTACCCAAACATGGCAAGAAGGTCTTCTAGTGGCATGTCGCTTTCCTGAAAGGAGAGAAATTTTAAGGCCTCGTTTTGTTTTGTTAGTAACAACTATAAAAACCAACAATAAAGCTAAGGACGGAATAGAAAACGTTACTTTTAGTTTTTCAACTTTATTGTATTCCTTATGATAACAGTGGACTCCCTTTAAGACGTACTTGAAGGAATCATGATCATTTGTTCGTCTCACCAGGAGTTTGTGTTATCAGAAGTGCCCCTAAAAACCAAATACTAACATGCCAAGTATGCCCAAATATGTTGCTTGAAAACACTGAATGAGGTATACTTATAATGGTAAGGAAGGAAACAAGAAAAAACATTTGTTTGGCTCAGCTTGATAAAAACTATGTTTTGAAGTAGAGTATTTAGACTAATGTAACAAGTCCTCGATTTTGCGAGTTTGTAATAAATATGCTCATGAATAATTGGCTACGCACTTGAACAATAAAACTGTACCAGGACACTACTCGGACAATCAGAAAAAGATAAAAAGAAAAAGACAAGCCCAGTTGTCCTCCAACGATTAGAAAACTTATTCTTCTGGCTGTTCACCTTCTGACAGGCTGTTTTACTGGCTTAGCTATCAGTTTTGGATACACCTGCATTGCATACCGCTGCATTGACAAAGCCTATATACGCCAAGTCCCTCATGAGAATCTGCAAGCTTTTCTTTGAGGTTCGGGTATTTTTTTATTTCCAGCCTGCAGTAACTTTTGGTGAGTAACATTGAGGTGAAGATCTCCGTTAACGCTACTCACGATCACAAGCCTTGGGCACACAAAAAAGACACAATGCAGCTGTATTTAGTGTGCAATTGTCATGCACATTCATAATAAAAATGGCGCATCACAATTTGGGGCATTTCCCTGAGAGCAAATACGACGCACACAGGCCCATGCAAAACAATGCACACTTAGCACAACATGGGCTCAGGTGCCATTGTGTGACGGCGATGACAATACATCTGACTCCTCTGATGGGAGTGCTATTGCAGCATATGCATTCACCGTTTCATGTTATTATAATGTACAGACAAACTTTGTTCCCATTTTCAAATTCATTTGGCTTTTTTTTTTTCCCTATTCCCTTGCATTTTCCCCTCTAGCCAAGCTCTTGTGTTCTGTTCTCCCCTGTAATCCTGTTGGGTAACTGAATAACACGAGGAGAATACTAAAGGACAAACGCTTTTGGTTGCTTTCTTTGCTGATAAAGCCGGCCCTTTCTCCTATTTACAGGGCTAGAGATGAGGGAGGTGCCAGCTTCATGTACAGACCTTTCTTTTCCACTTATCTCGCTTTTGCCCTCCACGTCTCAAATTGCTTTCTATTTGCTTTGAGTCTTTGCGCTAGGAAGGTTTATTTTCTTTTTAAGAACGATGGACCTTCGACGCAAAAACTTTGGTCATGTCTGTCTGTACATTTGTCTGTTTGTCCACCGTTACCGTGAACCGGGTACTTTAAACAGCACCAGCCGGTACCCCAAACGACCGTCCCCATACGCAGCACCCACCAATGTTGCTCAAGGATCAGCGTTCATACGTGTGCGATTGTCCATGAAAAAGCAATTATTGCACATATCTGAAGCACCATAACAACACATATACTCTGCATGTTTGTTTTTTTACGAGAAAAGGCATACATAAGTAATTCTAAGGACCGTAGTGCTTATGATGCTGCGCTGACCATGCAACGCTTGCAAGAAGAAGCGAGTGTTTCCTACGCTTTGCTAAGACGACATGGTGGTGGCACCTACTCGTCTCCTTACGTTCTACACCTTATCACCTCTGAGACGGGCGCGCACGTCCGTCTCAGGGCCACGCAATTTGTTTTCCAAAAAATACTGCCAGATGGCGCGCATGTCTCACGTGTGACGTGACTTGCTGTGCTCGTTCGCCTCCGCTGCACGCTCGAGGCACTCAAATGCAGCGCCTCCGGAATACCATTCACCGATGTTCTTGCACAGAACATCAAATAAATGTTTTCTTAACTTTCTCCACACTTAAGACTATCGTCTTTCGACGACATTTGCAGATTACATGCAGATACGGGGCCAATTTTTTTTTCTTTAATTTTGCTTTCTCTTGTTCTCCTGAATCAAGACTATAATGTTCGTTACCAAGACAAAACATCACGAGAGAGAGCAAACAGCCAATGCGAGCAAAGGGAATTCAGACACGTTTTCAATACATAATCAAAGATGAAATTATGATAGCTGAACATGAATATTGGAAGGCATTATTTTTGAAGGCTTGAAATTGAAGATTGCAATGACATTAACAATTTATTTGTGATGATGCCTTGAGTGGACGCTTAGTGGTATCACAATTCGACAAGTCATTTGGCAGTAGGTGGCTGGTCAGGAGTTTTACTATAAGTGCAGGATTGGAGTAAACCAGACATAAAACAGGCCCTTTCAATTTTCAGGCTCCAAAGCAATCTAATCAAAGCCGTCCGGAGGCTGTTTTGTGTCTGCTCTATCAAACAGAATGCGTACATTCATGTTATGCCTGTTCTGGAACAAAATGGCTTACAGCACTACCGTTTCCAGTTGCTATGCTCGCATCTGATCGACAGATGAACCTCAATCTAACCTGTGCGGCTACCTTTCGTCATATAGTGACATTCCGTTCTACTCTATCATAGAATGCGTACAAAACAGCCTTCTTAGATATCACTGGGAGAAACCTTCTGTACTGCAGTGGAAAGCACGATGACAATGATAACTTGGTAAATAGACTATCGTCACTGTAATAGTGACACGAAAAGAATTGGACTAAGAAAAGGAAAATTATTTTGTGCCCTCTGTTAGTGCAATGCATTAATTTCGCTGCCACTCCCCACCCCGCCAAGTCCCAATGTCAGACTCTCTGCATATCCTAAACAGCTGAAGCACAAAAAAGGTAACAACGGATTAAGAAAACAACGAGGAAAAGCATAATCACTGCAGTCTACCTTAACTGAACCGATATACACACCCTACATGAGGAATGACTTTGCGTTGCACTCTTTTTCTTTTACTGCCGTGAAACAACGGAACATTTTACACTGTAGCATCACATCATCCAGGTAATTTTACTTACAAAAGTAACTTGTTCACATTCACCTACACAACTTACAAGAGTAACTGATACAACAGATAAAAAAAGAACGCTTTTTGTGCATTAGTAACAAAGCTATTGTAACATATATTTCGGTTTATTTACCTATTTGGCTGGTTGTTTAATAATAGCCAGCTATATTGAGAAACAGGCTATTGTCACAACCTTTAAAGAAGCTTTAGTGTCTTACCTGTATACAGTAATAATAACTGGTCATTATATGCATAATACACAACAATAATCTAATGTCTCATTGATTGATGGATTGATCAATCTGTGTAAAAACCAGAAGTGTAACCAATCAATCTGTATTTAAAAAATGACAATGTACCTTGCCCCAATAGGTAGTGTGTAAAGCGTAGCTCAACGGGTGTCCACGTGACAGTAACTTTTCGAATGCATTCAGTTCAGAGGAAAAAAAAGAGACAAAGCTGCACAGCAACTTACTTTTTGCAGTGTGTTCAGTTCGTCGTCACTGGCGTCGTCGCTCTCCAAAGCCTCCTCCTCGTCTAGAGTCTTCTCGTCGTCGTAATCATCAACAAGCATCTCAGCGGAAGGATCAAAGTCTTGATCACTGTCTCCTGGAAGACAGACATGTGGACACACTTACGGAAAATCCAATTAACCCAGACAAATGAGGACAGCCGCCAACTTGAATATGCAGAGGAAGATGTACACAGCAACTACATCGTCAAGGCATGCCAGTATATTACTCACTAGAAGTCAATGGTGAGAGAGCAGGCCACAGCTACAAACAATTCAGCCCCTTCTAGAGTGGTAAGAGTACTGCTGGCACCTTAACTATCACACCACAACACTACAGGGCCAACCAAAAGTGGGCGGGCAGTTAAAGCTCTTGATCGTTTTTTTCTTAATCCTTATTTTAATTAAACTGCCTTCCTTTATATTTGGGTACGAACTTCAAATAAGTTATTTTTATTGTACAACATGGCAGTTTTCAAGATATATAAGTTTTATGAACGATATCCCAGCGTGCCATCAACTCGCTAGCGAATGTTCAACATACCATACCTTTTGTTCAAAATGGTGTGCAAGAATTCGCTACATACACTTCTCTCTACAGACTGCTGTAGAGAGAGAGACTGCTGTTTACTCGATAACTAGTTTTAGGAAAAACCTTACTTCCAGAAAGCCCGTGAAGCTTTCATTTCTTAAAAACAATGTATTATACTGAACAAGTAATTGTGTACATAAAATCAACACACCAATGCACACAAACGCCTCAAATTTCATCAAAATCTATCATTACTTTTTTTAAATTTAAAGAGAACAGTTCCTCTGCAATGGAGCTAAAAGACGTTTCAGCTTCTATGCAGAAGACTTTACTAATCTAATATGCCATTAATAAGCCTGTTTCAAATGAAGATCGAAATTTCAATAGGCCATTGAAATCTACAAGCTCCACGCATGAGCCAATTAAGTATTCACCAACAATAGTAATTGATTTCAATATCCCCTTAGGTTCGAGTTAGTCATTTATTATTAAAGAGCAACTTTTCTTAGAAGCCACAGATGAATTTATAATTAAAGCCTTCACAAACCTTGTAAAGCCACAAGTATGATTGAAATCTAGGCTAATGAATGCAATGAAACGAAATCATCAGTGACTATACTAGGAGACATTCAGTTAAAAGTATTATTATTATTATTTGGTTTGAGTACATAGAGAACATGAAGACAGAAGAAACAGGGAGGGAACAGGCTGACAACTGTCAACCATAGGGGTACAAAGCCTGCCTGCTGCTTCGGAAGGGGAGACGTAGAGGAAATAAGGGAAGAAAGAAGGAGAGAGAAGAGGAAAGTTAAAAGGAGAAAAAACACACACACGCAAAAAAAAATTAATTATCACATGAAAAAAGTCTATAAAGACAATTATAGGACATTCCACTGCAGCGCGAAGAGGCAGGGCTTTCAACTGTTCATACAGTTTTTAGTGAAGTTCGTCGAGAACTGGAACGGGTGCCTCCAAAAGTTGTTCTGCGGCTAGTGCTGCTGGTGTCTGGCGACCGGCAATCAGTGATCTAATGACATCGATCAGCACGTTCAGTTAAAAGTAGCGTGGATAGCACTGAAACATACTTAAGAAAACATCCTTGATGTCTGCAATTGCGCACCAAAATACTAGAGAAAGATCTTCAGCAAGATGCATAAAAAAATTTTACTTCCGAGCTTCATTCTCTCTTACGATAGCTGATATAATACATGAGAAGTTGACAAAAATCAGAGTTCTTAAAAACAGTTTCATCACTTTAAACTGATTAAGAATTTGCTTCGAATTGAAACAATTATCCTCAGTATCCCATTTCATTAACAAATTATGAACAATCGTGTCCAAGTCTCTCATTACAAAAGGAGAAGAATATGGCAACGATATAGCTTGCTGAGCAAACATCTGGCAAATATGTTACCTTGTCCTTACATTAATAACAACATAGGTTACTGAAAGGTCAAATCTGAAAAAAAAGTGTAGTCCCTGATCAAACAAAGGAATTAGCGTAATTTATGACCTAATGAAAGTTTTCAGCAGTGAAAACAATCTACGGTTAATGCCAAGATATCTACACATAACTGCCAACAAAGCAGATATAAAGTGGTGCCGACAAGATAAGATGTACGAAACTGTCTATGAACAATGAGTGATGTGAAAAAAGGTTAACGAAACTCTAAGCACCACAAACCAAGAAAGGCCGAGAGCATTTGTTCCCGACTGTAATCTTATAACAGAGGATGCCTCCTAAGATCGATATCTAATCTCCACACAAAGCTGAAAATTAAGTATTTATGTGAAGCTTGGTTTCTTGCTGAATTACACAATATGGTTAAATTTTTTATCTAAAATACTGGGTCGATCAAAGCCCAAAAACAATGAAACAGCGTAAAAATTGAAATGTCATACAGAAATAACCGAAATGTCATACAGAAATTTTACATCAGGCACTAAATAGGGCAAGTACCCATAAAGTAAACTAGATAATAGAATGGAGAGAACTCGCATCTAACTTTTCGACCACGTTAGAGCACTATGGTGATCAGTGTAATTATGTAAATTTTTAAATGTTCAAGTTGCATGCTAAGTTATGCGATACCAGCTGCAAACCTTTGAATGTCATGTATTTCTATTTGATATAGGGCATTCGTTTTGAAAAGTGCAATAAAATTAATTTCTAACAGCAAGTGATGCACTTAGGGGTTTCAAATTCAAATGCTAATTATCACCAGTAAATTGCTGAACTTTTCAAACAGCATACTCTATCAGCTTATCTCTATCACAAAAATAATTAGAAAAAAAGTGTTTCAAATTTTAGGCAGGCAACTTAACAAAACTGTGCCTATTATGTTTTCCCTGAGCACTGGGTTTATGTTAATAATCGCTTTACTAATGGTGCTGTATGTCTACACACAAAGCACAAGCATAAGCAAACTCGGAACTGCAAAGACCGGCATGTGAGGGACCACTTATAGATCTTGTCAACTTCTTAACTTGTATCTGAGGTATAATAATAATAATAATAATAATAATAATAATAATAATAATAATAATAATAATAATAATAATAATAATAATAATAATATCTGGGGTTTTACGAGACAAAACCATGGTATGATTATGAGAGATGCTGTAGCGGAGGGCTCCGGAAATTGCGACCACCTGTGGTTTTCTAACGTGCTCTTAAATCTAAGCACACGGGCCTGAAGCATTTTCACTTCCATCGAAAATGTGGCCGCAGCAGCTGCGATTCGATCCCGCAACCTGCAGGTCAGCAACAGAGTACCTTAGCCACTAGACCACAGTGGCGGGTTGCAGTCCAAAACGAATCAATTGCCTTCTCAGACAAGGAAAACGATTATCTCCCAGATGGTTGTACGCGCAATGTGCGTGCTTAGTGAGGATGATGCTGATAGTTTGTTCATTTTATCGTTGTCCATTTGTTCCTTCTTTCGCTTTTTGGACTGCGTAAGTATATTTACGTGGTGGTAATGGATAAACCTTTGTTGTAAGTCAGCGCTGTTGTTTGTGCCTTCCTTTTTTTCCATTTCTTTGTCTTTTAGCGCTGTTGCTTTCTGCTATGTCATACCGACATGTCCAAGCATCCGCTTTAGCTGATTACACAGATGTGAAGCTCAAAAAAAAGTTGAATGTGGTAGTGAATATGGCTTTCCTCATATCAATGACAATATGCTGAAAGTTACCTTCCCAAAGGTGTCAAATTGGCTCCAAGCGCGAAAGTAAAAGAAAAGGATGCATAGTGGTGTTCAGAGCGCATAACTTTCGTTAATGAGTTCCAGGGCGCCTGTGAAACACCAACACATTTATTGCAACGAGATAAAGATTTCAACACAGCAGGAAAAGCGCGATTTCGATTGTGCCCACTGAAACATGTACACAAGGCAATACAGTTGGCCAAATGCAGTGATGAAAGCGACATTTTGATTTTTAGAGCAGATTCTGAAGCAGAAAGAAATGCTAAAGCTTAGGGTTGCTATTGATGTTTTCAGAGCAGAGGCATGTTTCTAATGAGTCCTGAAGTCTAAAACATCACTTAAGCATCTAATAAATATTTATATTATTAAACATGCCGTATGCTAGTATGCAGCTGGTATACAAGCAGTAGAGTTGGCCTAAATTATGGGGCGGGGGGGGGGGGGGGTCAAGAGAGTCCAGACTTTTCTAGTGTTAAGGCTGGGGAGGACACCCCTTGCAAGTGTCCCACTTAAGATTTAACTTTAGCACGTGATATAATTGAGTCAACGGTTGAGTATAGTGCAGTCAACTTTTTAAAGGGCTTTTTATCTTTTACAGCGTACTAGTGTTAAATGCCCCTCAGCTGTTTGAACTATGGAAATAAAAAAAAAAGTGAAAGAAGAGACTGAATAGAACAATGTGACTGCTAGAGCTTGGACCCCATGCTCATTTTTTTTAAATTTTATCTGAAAGTATGATTTGATTCTTATATAAATAAAAATACAACCCATATTAAAAATATGAATTGGACACCATAACCTGATATGTGACACCTCTTGAGATTTTTCTGGATTTACACCACTGAGTAGCATACTAGGATGACAGTGTATACAGCTTGCTTTTGGTTTCGCTTAAAGCTCATTCTTTTTAGTTTGCCAACATCCTTTTGGAGCAGGTTTGGAGCAGTTACTAGCAAATACTGCTCTTTGGAGCAGCATTTCTCTTTTGGAGCTGTTTGGAGCGATTGGAGCAACACTTCCATCACTGCAAATGGCTTCCAATCCGGTCAAATTTAACACGAAGATTGTCACTACGTTCTACATAGAGAAAAATTAAAGCAACTTATTTACATTTCCAGTCAGTGATACAACTTTAATTTTTTAAAATTTGTTATAACATCAGAAATATTAATTATTTGAATTACTCTATTGGTCACTCATATTCTGGGATATTCTCCATTGAAACATCGCGCTAGCATGTCAAAAATGCTGCTATGGTACTTCTGCCAACTTTTCATTTCCACCTTAATGCTCTGGGACAATTTGTACACAATTATGTACACCGCTTGCTTTTGCTAGTAGTGTCTCCTAACTTATGAGTGCAGATGCACTGACCTTTTGATGAATCAAATCATGATAGTAAATGCATGTGAAATTATCTTCATTTTGAAGCATACTGTTGAATATAGAGACTTTGTTGAAGGCACTACTATAATCGACAAATAGTTCAACATGCCTCCTCCCACAAGCCGCAACAAAACAATAATTTTTCCTTGCTAGAAATAAACGGTTCTATTTATGTGACAAGAGTGCATGAAAGACTTCAGGCCTGATAGATATGTATGTACAAATAATTTAGGACTCATTGCTATAAGACACATTAATCAAACTGTCATGACATTATTTTTGTTAAGATATAGTGAGTTTATTGAAGTAATACTTATTGAAGTAACAATCAAGATCCGAAGGCCTTGCATAAGTAAGGATCCAAATATAGACATGTAAAAATAATATAATTACATGATACATAATCTGATAGCTCCATAAATTTGACATGCGCAGATAGAAGTATGACAATATAAAAAAATGAAAACTCATAACAAAAGTCTGTCTGCACTGTAAACAGTGGACAATGATTAACGTCGGAGACAAAATATACTAATCAAATGATTAATAGTTAGCAATAATTATAAACAAACAAAAAGAAGACAAAAAATAAAACAATCTGAAATATAGGGATGTTCACGAAGTAAGTGTGAAAGTGAAAATTTTTGACAGAAACCTACAAGCGTGGTCGCGTGGAAGAATCTAAAGGCTATAAATTATTTGAAGGACGGCCTGGAGTGCCGTCATAGTGGCCTGTTAACCTTTGTGCTTAGTATATTTAACTAAACAGTGTTATGGCAGACAGTTACGCATGAAAACGGTTGGGGTAAGGCAGAGAATGTTTCACGACCTTATTAATTCATTTCGCAACACACAAGACAACATTGGCTTAACAGCCCTACATTGCGGCACCCTGATGTCTTCCGTAAAACAGTCTATATGGGCAACAACCCGAAATGTTAAGCCTATGCACGTTAAGCCACTTTAGCTTTTACAAAGCACGAGTGGTGCATCTTTTCATATGAAGGCACTCTAAACGAGTTATAGGTGTTTCCGTAGAACATCTCACTTGACGCGCGGGGCTATGCGATCAATGACGAGCAGTCTACTGTACCTATCTCATTAACCAACAGCAGCTTACGTTAAACATATGCTACTGTGAAAATGTGATAGCACTAAACACACGCTGCTTAAAATTTTTGTACATGTACTTACCATGCAACAAAATGAATTCGTTGATTGATTGATATGTGGGGTTTAACGTCCCAAAACCACTATATGATTATGAGAGACGCCGTAGTGGAGGGCTCCGGAAATTTAGACCACCTGGGGTTCTTTAACGTGCACCCGAATCTGAGCACACGGGCCTACAACATTTCCGCCTCCATCGGAAATGCAGCCGCCGCAGCCGGGATTCGAACCCGCGCCAAATGAATTCGTTCTACAGCCTTAATTTTAGTTCAGTATACTGCCACATAAAGGCACACTCGGTCAGTTCGCATTAGAGACATTCATTACAAATGTTTTTTTAATTTGTTGTTTGAGCAGAGTTTATATAGGAAAACTGAACTTGATTTACTTCAAAATTTTCATCAAGTTCTGCCACTTCTATTAATGTCTGTAATATAGTTAGAGGAGTACATCAGTGCTTGGCTTCCACTAGACAACGTTCAGTTGGACAGCTTCAATTTTTTGTTAAAGCTGCAGACCATAACTGAACTTGTCATTGCAGTCACATCACTAAACTTATAACAGCAGCGTATAAGAGCAATCAATAGCACACATCTGTAATGGTAAATTTATTTTCAAGGTCATTTCAGCTTTTTTTACCTTCTCTTAGAAGTACCAAAACTTTGGATTTAAACTGATGTAAACATAAAGACTTCAGAAATTAACATTACAAGACAAAATTATATTAATGAAATATCAACTGACATGGCTATTAATTGATCAGTAATTACAATAGAATTGACTTGTATCATGCTTTTCAATGAAAGCATTTCATGCAATAATGTTTTCATTGAGATAGATATAAATTTACAACATTCATCAGCCTTCCAAGCCAATTAAGCAAATTCAGCCTCCGAATGGCTTAAAAAGTCTCTCGTACAGTCTTAACATCAATGCCACACACACAAAAAAAAACGTGAGCTGCTGTTTGCTCTTTCAAACTTCCTGTTGTTAAAAGAACGTTTGACTGTGTTAACTGAATGAAACTGGACACTCAAAGAAAATTAAGTTCTCGAAATTCTTTAGTTCATGAGATGATTGACTGCATAAAAGTATGATAATTCATGTCAAAGAAGTTACAGTTGGAATGTCTTTGTTTGTTTTAAGTTTAACCTTTATAGTACGTGCCCTTTGTAACATGCATGTCCGCTTTATGAACAACTGTTAACCTTTAGATGTTGCCCACACCCGACGAGAAACTTGCAAAATGCAAAAACTCACAATTGAAACATTACCTTTATTAATCAACTACAAAAAGACTGTCTTTGTGTGTGTATGAACAGAATTTTTTTATAAAGATTGACACAACAAAAGTAAAATTTAAAAGTTAGTAAAATATTATCGTGAGCTCTGGACAGCTGGCCGTCATTGCACAGATGAACCAAGAACACTATTTGCATGTAGAACTTCGTTGTTCAGCACAACTGACAGGTCAGTAAAATCGCAGAACAAGCTTGAGCTCCAGAACTTAACGGGACATTTTGATCTGCTGGCAAAATCGGGAAACGGACTTTGCTTGGCACTGCTATGACTTCTCTCGCATGTCTAATCATCAACATATGACAATTTCATAAGACAAGCCAGCACTAGATGCAGTGCATTGAATAAACTACCAAGACCCCTCAATGCATAGCAAGACCCTAATTGTTCAAAAGCCGCTTTAAAGATTAGGCCTATTCTCCAAAAAATGAACAGTTATGGAGATGCATTACCTGGGACCTCAACGCTAATTACAGCAACAGTGAGATTATTATTCCAAATCATGATTTATGAAAACCAAATCATTAATGACACGCTATTCAGAAAAGTTACACCAGTTTCACACGATCGTAAATGACAAAATAAAGCAGGCATGAGTGCCCTAACATTCAAATTACAAGACCAAATTGTTCTCAGAGCTGCAGTACAGGGCATTGTTGTGCCTAAAGAAATGTTATCACTACTAATGCTGCATTCTTATAAAACAATGTTAGCACTAATCACTTTATCTTGGAATTGTTGGCCAGAGATATAACACCAGAGAGTCATTACTGAACCATTTTCAGGTCATAAACATAAAACGAGTAGATGTAGAAGCAAAATATTACTTGTGAGGACCATGATGATCCACAAGCAAATAGCGAAGCATAGACATGCTGCTCCCAGGCATGATCTGTGCACAAGACGGCAAGAGAAAGACAATGCAAAATGAAATCTTTTTCCCCATATCGATGCAACAAGCTTCCTTCATCAGATGGCCACCATGTATCGAAGGGTGTGCTAAAGCTGTGATCGGGTTTACTAAAGGATTGCTACAAAACTAGGTAGAAAATAATGGCTTATATAATCTCTACTTTCGATCGTAAGACTGCAAGTGTTAACTAAGCACACGTTATCAGTAGTGCGGACGTTATCTATAAATAATTACCACGATGGCATCCAAGCCAGCTTGCAAAAACAAAATCGAGTGCACTGTAAAAAACAATGCGCAAACGTCGAAGTTTCGAGACGCGCCCTTTAACTCGGCGAACTTTCGAGCGAAAAACAAAAGCCCACTCACCAGCGGATCCATCACTTGTATTGGCCTGAAACGGCAAAAGAAATAAGTTGCACGATATAACAATGCGTCGCAGAGAGTGCACCGCGGCTTACGTCACGTCTCCTCTGCGTCAGCGCTACAAAACATGCTGTGGTCGTAAAAGCGAGCCTCTCGCAAATACCGAGAGGGCGTCTGCTAGTATCGTCTCTCAGGTGACGTCTTTTTTTTTTTCTGTCGCTTCCAAGAGCTTAGGGTAACGAGCATAAGCCGTGGCGTGAAACTGGTTTATCGCTACGGGCGCTAGTCATGACGATGAAAGGGGGGAAAGCCTCCTATCTCAACGAGGGTCGTCCCAATCGCGCGCGCTCCGAGCTGCGGTCGAGGTTCGAATCGTACAGTAGGCGCTCGAAAAGCCTTCCCACCTGTCGTCAGCGAAGTGACGCAAACGGCACGGCGCTCGGCGTTTGTCAACGTCTTAAGCGCCTGCCGTAGGGAACGAGACGGGGTTCATTCAGCCCGACGGGGGCGCTCGAGTTCATGCATCGAATCCTGGTACTGTCAAGCAGCCATGGGCAAAGCGCTGAGCGCATAAGAACAAAAAAAAGCGCGCGGTTCTGGGCGATTTCAACTAACACAAGAACGGGCCCGACGCGACCAAGAAAAACTGCGGAGTTTTAGCCCTTTTCGAGCTTGAACTGCGGATACTACTCGGACCGCCTGAGGGTGAAACAGCGATTTTCGCGACGAGAATCGAAGGGTAAATAACGCTTACAAACCTCGGCCATTTTGCCCGCTGGGTGTCAACAAAATGGCCGCACGAGGCCGCCAGCAACGACTGTGGTTAAATTTTTTTTCGGCCCGTATAGTTATAACAAAGTTTCATTTCCAATGTGTTATATTTACCATCTATGCATTTATTTTTTGTACACGTACTACCTAACTATTTGCCCATATAGTTTTGTGAGTTTCGCTGTACAATGCGGCAAAAGCATTGTTTGAACTGGCAACATGGCGCTGCAGCTGCGGCGCTTGCAGACGACGAAGCGCACGTAGCAGACGAGCGCGAGATCATTGCTGTCTTGCATAATTAACTATTCTTCTCCTAATGCCGCATGTAGACTGTTGCAGTGCTATGAATAGTGAATAAATACGTGCTACTAACTGCGTATTCTGCGAACGAGAAGAGCACTAGCCCAGCATAGTGGCTCAACGTCTGTGGCCAACTAATAACCAGCGATATTGGTTGCCAAACAGAGCCCTTACTTTGTGGCACCGTTTGTTGGCGGAGAATAGTGGTTGCCGAGCCCTGCCCACTTGTTTACTAACAATCGGTCGTCGGACAATTTCATTTGGGAATCGGAGCAGAAGCGTAGCCAGGGGCTGGTACGCTCGGCCCGTGCCCCCATGAAGTATTTATTTCGCCATGGCATAGATGGCGCAAAATGACCAAGGACGTGGAAGATAGCTGGCACGGGGTGGAGCAATCTCTATTTATATTTAAAAATGCAGATTACTTTCAAAAACAAAAAGGTCTTCACATATGATGCGCCCCGGGTCCCGTGAAAGGAAGTGCGCCGGCGGCCGCAGGCGCGGTCCCAATCCCAATTTTTTGCACAAAGAACAGTGCAAAAAAGCCGCATATCAGAAAAAGTAAAAAACCAACGTATGAGTTCGAAAACACGAGAGATCTCCAATTACAGATGTGATAAATTGCTATCATATTCTTGTAAATAACTGTCACTGGTCCCGTAATTAGGGAGGGAATCACCGGACTTATTATTCCAAGGGCGGACGAGTAGGGAGACGGAGAATATAAAACGCGATCGCAGAAGCGCTCGAGTGTGCTTCCTTTTTCGTTTCATGTAGTGTATCACGCTACGTAAATAATGTAAATAGCTGGAAATAAACGCTCCAGTTTTCAGCTCCGGCTCCTCGGTTCGTCTTAGCCCTGACCACTCCGTGGCCCCGATACTTGGATGGCTCCGGTTCCCGACGAATTCCTCCAGTGGCAATACTCTGCAGTGAATCTGAATCGCTTCAGTAGAGCAGCCTTCACTTTTGCATAGTTAGCTACATCAGGGGGCGTCAGCCTACCATACAAAAAAAAAAGAGGAGGTGCTGACTGTACACACTATACAGTGCATCTCCACTGAAGCAATCGAGTACTCAAAGCAGTTGTCCATTGATGTTACGGCCAATTCTGGCTCCTAGTGATTGTCTCAAATCTATGAAGGTACTCATCAAAGTCGTCCTTCTCTCATCAAACGCTACAAGCAATTTGCTTAGATTCAAGCGGAAGTTATTATCTTCGCTTTCGTAGCTTTTAACTCTAGCCTGGACGGGAGTATCACTTTGCTGCAAACGGAGCCGTTCGAGCTTTATCTCATGATGCCGCTGTCTTTCTCCCTCAGCTTCTCTTTCTTCCCCCAACTGCCGCGCCTTCGCAACCCTTTCTTCTAATTTCAATTGTCGCTCCTTCGCCTCTCTTTCTTCTTTCGCCCTCCCTCGTTGTTCTTTTTCTTTCTGGCTAACTCACTTCCGTAGGACGGTGTCAGACAGACCCATCTTCACACCAAAAGCTACCAACTTCTCAAGATCCATGGTGCCTCTCAAATAAAATTTAGCCGCGTGCACAAAATCCTCTGCCTAACTCGATCGGTCGGACTTCTCTGCCTAACTCGATCTGCCCACTCGTTAGCGAAAATGCCGTGCAACACACAAAAATTGTTCTGACAGCACTATCAACGACTCGAGGCTCTTTTCCCCTACTTTGCACACATTGTGCACTAAAAAAGTCCTGTCGCGGACGCCAGAACTAATTGACACTGGTCCCGTAATTAGGGAGGCAATCGCCGGGCTGATTCCAAGAGCGGGCGTGTCGGCCCCCCGAAACGCACCACAAAAGCACAGGACAATTTAGAATTGGTCCCTTTGGCACGTCTGCGAACACCGGCTGTGGTCCAAAGAACGAGACTACATACAAACATGCACACTCGACAATAATCCAATCCCAATACGTCACCAATTAATCACAAGATACAATCCTGTATGAGCCTGTACAAATACCTACAGTATTGTTAAATAAAATACTAAAAATAACAGGCTATACAACACAACAAGATACACTCAAAACAAAGGCACAAACAACAACACGCGCTACTATGCAATCTCATGCATTAACTGTAACCAAGACACTTATAGACCAAACTGTCCGTCAAACGTGTCCAGTCTTAAGCTTGAATGCTTCTCTTCAAGGAAATGCTCACTCAAAGTTTAGTGCCGGTTGTCGTCCCGTTGCGTCCGAGGTTTCTCTTCCAGGAAACTCTCGCGTCGTCAAATGTCCGCACTCCAATAAAAAACGTCCTCACCGGTAACACGTCGGCCACTCACGCGCTGTGACTGGAGAGCACGTCTTCGCCCACGGGCGGTAAACATACACACATTTATCCTGCTTCTAAGATAAGCCTTCTTCATCCGCAGGTGGAAAACCTCTCCATCTCCTGATCGACCTGGGTTCTGGAAGTTTCGTCGGCGCGCCGCACAGCCGAAAACTGGGGAAGTAACGGGACTTTTGCCGAACTTTCCGCGACCCGTGACGCAACCAGGGAGTGACTCACTCTTTCCTTCTCGATGTTTCTGGAGTTCGCTGAGTGTTAGGTACGAGGAGGTTGATTGGCGTGGCTACAGCGCTTTCGAGGGGGAGAGGCGGCGCGCGCGAGGCGTCCTTTTGAGCCCGAACTAGGGTACCATACCTAAACGCTCTGCCATGGAGGAAGGAAAAATTCCATGCGCTCTGCGTATGCGAGTGTCTGCGGCGATTTGATTTCTGCGACGGCGCGCGCATCTAGCCGCGCTTGGAGTCCTGCAGATACGAAAGGACGCCGACCTAGCCGGCGTGTGGAAACCAATTTAGATTACCTTTTTTTTTTTGCCCCTTTTCGTGCATATTTTACATCCCTACACACAGGACAAGTACACTCGCGGCCATTAACGAGAGCTCTATTCATACATGTTTATGACTGCATGAGACCGCTTAGCTCTATTTCGCACGACGCGCCGCGCACATCGTAGCGACGCACACCATTCACTCTAGTGTGTTCTCGTGATCGTCTGGCTATGCTTTGTAGTGTTGAATAGTTTTAACCAGCAGCACTCATTGGGCTCTATCACGTCGCAGCGGATTTGGCGTAGTTGCTGGCGGTGCACCCTGCTATGTGTAGTGCACTCGTGTGCGCACCCTTGTTTGCCTGGCGGTGGTCCGGCACCACCTGGACTTACACAGAGTGGTCAACTTCATGTAAATCACTTCGAAGCTCACAAACAGCTCAGTACGTGGCGCCACCCGCCATAGGCGAATCAGCCGGGGGGGGGGGGGGGGGCAGAAGCCTTTCACTAAGAAAAGTTGGGGGGGCTGCCCCCCCCCCCTTTAGACAGTGGTCACTGTCGGCTGCATGCTAAAAAAAAACAACTAAGGCAAAATTTTCCTTCACCACTGTAATCACTCAGGTATATTGCTACGAGAAAAAGAAAATATTAAAGAGGCAAAGGTACAATGTAGTGATAATTTTCCAACATTTAGGTAGCGACGGATTTTCCTTAAAGGCTCTTTGCGACGCTTTCCGCCCTGTGCAGTAGCACTGCACAGCAGGATAGCGCTGAACAGGGGCCCTATATATTACATCACTTGTTCATATTTTTATTCTGCTGCGACTGGCCGATGCAGCTATAGATGGGAACGACAAACTTTTTATGGACCCGACAAAGCCATTTCCTGCTTCAGGAAAACCCTTTACTTTAATCAAAAAAGATCACCATCAGCCGCTGCTCTGTCGAAGCTGCTGTGAGCACATGATTGCGACTAATCTTTCTAAAAATTTTAGTGTTGCCGTATTAAAAGTGCCACAAAGGTTTCCGCGTTAATCTCCAATAAATCGTTTCAGCCTTGCTTATGGCAATTCGGAGCCATGGAGGCAGCTTGCAAAGGAGTGACGAATAAAGCAGTGGACTCGAGCTCAAGTGGGAAGCTAAAATAAGTAGATAGAAATGCTCAAAAGATCTTTGGTTCCTCAAGGAGTGCTTCACATTTAAAAACTGAATTCTTTGTGAGCTGTTTTTAGTAATTGAAAAATTTCATTCAACGATAAAATATTTACTGTTCAGGAGGCTGCCATCAGCATAATTGTATTCATGGGGAAAGTTGTGAGGTAAAGCATAAGAAGCGTCGCGTGCAATATTACGTGCATCACGCATGACAAACATATACGTGTTGTCCCAGTGCATGCTGCTTAAAACTGACTGTATTTTTTATGCTATTGGACAAGTGCTGTGTGTATGAAAAATCACATTAAAATGTGAGTGCGCCGAAGTGGTCTCTTTCCAATATAATATATATAATATAGATATAATATATATATTATATTATATATAGGGCCGTGCCACGGCCGAAACGTTAGTAAATACGATCCTTTTCTTATGTTGCTATCTTCAAGTTAATTCATATATATATATATTATAAAATAATATATATATATATATATATATATATATATATTATATATATATATATATATATATATATCTATATATATATATATATATATATATATATAGGTGTGGGATATGGCACAACGGGAGCGTTGTCAACAGGATAATATATTTATTTCCCAACAGTTTCGGGAGGGGACCTCCCTTCATCAGGGGATGAGTTATACTGACATGAACTTCCTTGCTGCCGCGTCCCTCTCGCCTTGAAGACGTTTGCGAGAGTGAGAGAGAACTGGACGAAGGAAAAAAAGAGAGAAAAAAGACG